TCATATTTTAATATTTTCAATAATTTTTTTAATATTTTAAACAATATTTTTAATTTTTAAACACACCTAACATAAATATAATTAAAAATATAATATTTACGAAAAAAATCTTTGAAAATAAACTAAATACCAAAAAATATAAATAAAAAAAATGAAAATTCAGGTAATTTTTTGTATTTTTGTGTATTTATTAATTTTTTAAAATATTTTTTCACAAATATTTTACTATTTAGATACATCTAAGTAAGGTGCATTCAAAAAAGTAAAAAAATTGCTTAAAATTTTAAAAATATTAACTAAAAATAAAAAAAATACGAAAAATAAAAACTTAATTTTCAAAAAATTAAAACCAAGCACAATGAAATGGTACTTTATATGTCCAAGATTATCCATGCAAACTTTGGATTTAAGACAAGGTTGTTACAACTACCATACCACCACCGGACAAGGGTGCCTGTTGTGTAGGAATGGCAACGGGCCGGGGCGGGGCCAAGGATCACCCTTCCCGTCCTTGATCCCCGACGGTGAAAATTCCTCCATCCCCGGCCCCGATCCCCGACGGGGAACCCACTATCACCCCCACCCCCGCCCCTTAACGGGGATCGGGTTTCCCCGACCCCGAAAATCCCCGGCCATCAACAACCCACTTGAGCTCAAAAATAACATCATCTACAGATCTTCAAAAGAAATTAACTCCAAAAAAAATAAAAAAATTAAAAAAAATCAACAGATCACAACACATCAACAGATCTTCAAATACAACATCATCAACATAAAAAAAAATCAACAGAGAGATCTAAGTAGAGAGAGAGAGAGGTTTGAGAGAGAGATCTATCGTGGTGGAGCCGAGAGGAGGAGGAGGCGGTAGAGGGAACGTCGTTGTCGTCGGAGGTCTCGAAGGAGAAGGAGGTGGCCCTCGTCGTCGGAGGAGGAGGAGGAAGAGGTGTTGGCACTCCTTTCGGATGAGGAGGGTCTGATTCGGTGGAATGTCGACGTCGTCGTCGGAGGAGGAGGAGGGAACGTCGTCGTCGCCTGTAGACACCTTATTCGGCAATGATTCTGAATCTGTAGACACTTATCTGCCATTGATCTTCATCACAAGATCTCCACAAGAGAGAGAGAGACAGAGAGAGGGAGAGAGGCTGAGAGGAGTGTGATGTGAGTGAGAGAGAGAGGGCTAAACATATAATATAATATGTATATTATAATAACACTAAACAAATAATATAATATATATATATATATATATATATTATAATTGGCGGTGGTGGTTGTTGAGGGGTGTGGGAATGAACGGGATAAGTCATTAAGTCATTAATCGGCCAGGTGGTGTGGGTTTGGCCATACAATTATATCATAAATGAAAATTGAAAATTTGTGCAAATCGGTAAAGCCCATGCCTATATGAGTCAATCGGGGTCGGGAGATCGGGTACCCATCGGACCGAGTTTAAATTGTCATCCCTAACTATTGAGGATGCTTTTGTTTACAAGAGGGCTAATAATAAGCTAGAAGGGCCCTAGTGGCTACGAGAGGTGGGCCGAAGCCTATTGTCGCGTGGAATAAGCCATCGAGGGAGTGCCAAAGCTTAATGTCGATAGGGCTACATGTAAGAAACCGAAAGGAGGAAGGGTGGGGATTGTGGTTAGAAATTTGCTGGCCATTTTATTGTAGCCCGCACTTTATCGGCTGGACTGATTTGCAATTCGTTAGTGGTGGAAGCTATGGCTGTAAAGGAAGGCGTGCGTATGGAAGTTGATATGGGTTATCAATCTATTTTGGTGGAAAGTGATTTGCAATAAGCTATTAATGGGTCAATTGGCAAGGGATATAGAGACTGTAGGGTGGCGATAATTTTGAAAAATGTGAGAGAGTACAGTAATTTTGGCTGAGACTTATCGAAATCTGATGTCAAATCCATCACTACCATCGGCGGGAAAACAGTTATCAGACCCACCACGTCATCGACTCGTCTGTGAGTCTTTTCTCAAAAATGGTTGGTAGGAAGATATATATATATATATATGTGGATTTTAGAGATGGAAAAATGGATTTGATTTAACAGGTAAACACACATGTCCTTGTGAGAAGTCACATTTGTGAAATAATTTATTGAGGAATTCTTTTATTGTTTTGAAAGATTTTTTATTTTCAATTTATCTTTTAATTTATCGGTTGACCTTTTTGTTATCTATTTATTTTCTTGACTATTTGTTCAATTAAATTTTTTTGTCTATTTATTCAAATTTTTATCTTTATTTGTTCAAATATCTATCTAAATTTTATTATCTATTCAAATTTTATTATTTGTTTAATTTTTACCTTGAATTCTATTTATCTGTTCAAATCTTCAGCCTATTTGTTTAATTTTTTGAATAAATATGAAGGCACAAACAAATCTGTCTATTCAACAACACAAATATTTTCTGCCACTATCTGTTATAATCATCATCAACAACAACAACAAAGCAAAAATATAGATCAACAACAACAAATAAAAAATACATATCAACAACAACAACAAAGAAAATATATAGATGAACACAAAAAAAAAAAAAAAGTTCATCATCAACAATAACAAACCAAGCAAAAAGAAAAAGGAAAAGAAAAATTTGAAACAATAAAACATTAAACACAAATCGACTGAGATCGATGGTCTTTCTTACTGAAGGTTTATACACACACACACATATGTAACTTTGAATACAGATTTGGATGGAGGACTTGTTCTTGTCAGAACTAAGATATATATCTATATATATGTAACTTTGAACACAGCCCAAGGCTTCGTCATAGTGGAAGCTTCCGTCGTGAGTGTCGATTACTCGCTTTAGAGTAGGCGAAGCAGCAGCAGTTGAGAAAGAAAAAAACGTAGGGTTGGCCATGAGGGGAAAGACAAGGATTAGATTGCGATTGATCTGTAAAAGAACCCAGATATGTAAAAGAACGCATTTGAAGATCAAATCAACCACATACCTCTATAGATCTATCGGGAAGAAGGTGAGAGAGCGATGAATCTGTAGAAAACGATGAAGGAGTCAATAGATCTGAAGGGAGGCATGAGCGAGATGAATTTGAGGGAGAAGATTTCGGTTATAAACCTGCAAAACCCTAACCTTAGGGCTTTCAGAACAATGATCTTCAACGGGAACTCGAGCAGTAGTGGCGAAGAATGCTAGGCGGCAAATCCGATTGTGTTCAAAGCTGCAATGCTAGTAGGAGTGGTTGAGGGACCAGAAGTGCAGGCGATTGACGATGAAGTCATGGTGGTGACGGTGGAACTCATGGCCGAAGTAATGGGAGGAGCAGAGTGGAGCGTGAGTTGATATCTTCACCAGAACCACTGATGGAGTCTCGGCGGCCTTTGGTGGCGACGCCATCAAAGATTTCATCGACGTAGACCTAGCCACAGAGAGAGAGAGAGATAATCACTTGTAAGGGTTTGGAAAAACATATATATGTAAATGGGTAATTTGGTAATTTTGCAGAAATTTATCCTTATGGATAAAGGATTTTGAAATGTGGACCTTTAGATCAAAAAAAAAATTTCAAAATTAAATTTATGAACCGTGTCCAAATAAAATTTGTGGCGGTGGTGGTTGTTGAGGGGTGTGGGAATGAACGGGATAAGTCATTAAGTCATTAATCGGCCAGGTGGTGTGGGTTTGGCCATACAATTATATCATAAATGAAAATTGAAAATTTGTGCAAATCGGTAAAGCCCATGCCTATATGAGCCCATTTTGGATAATGGGGCCTCTCAAATGAGTCCCAACTTCGAATGCACGCACGAAGTGAAAATAATAGAAATAGGAAAAATTTTATTTCCACACATCCTTTCATTTTTGTGCACATCATATCTCAATTCACACACTTCCGAATTTAGTTATATATTATTATTCTTATTCCACACACCACATGTTCCAATTATAACCCTAACTCAAATATTGTACACATACCACCTAAATAGGTTTTCACTAATTTTAAAACATAGCCAACACACCCGTTGAAGACTCATCAACAATGAGAGTTACGATGATTAGTTGATAGTCGGCTATAATGTAACCATTTTTTTTTGGCTTTGGCCGAAGACACATGAAGCCAGGTTTTCTCATTATACCATTTACACAAACAACTCATGCTCATGAATGATGTATATATGTGACAACCCCAATGTGCATATCATTATTACATTTATTTAATTGTGTGTGAATTTTAAGTTGTGATGTGTGCTTTATGATTAATTTGTGAATATCTGTTTGATTTGAAGATTATCTGTTATAATTTTTGTTCAGAATTTGAAATTGAAGGCTTAAACGATTTTAGAAGTCAAAATTTACAAGATGAATAGACTAATTGGAATTTTTAGAACCATTTGGAAAATTTGATTACAAATTTATTCGATTTAGTAAATTAAGCTTTGTTTAATTAGTCTCAAGCCTTAATTAATTAGCCTAATGTCCTAATTAGTGTATAAGCTAATCAACATGTATATATATGTGAGTTAATAGAGCAATGGGCTCAATTTCTCTCTTAAATCTGCTAGACAGTTTTAGACAGAGAGAGAGAGAGAGAGCTCTCATCTAGAAAGAGAAACTGTGTTTGTGTTGAATTGATGAAGAATTGAAGAAGCTCAAGGGATGTCATCTCTAATTGTTGAAGATTAAGGCTTTTGGTAAGAGTTGCAACCTTAATTATTGACGATAATCCATTTTAGAGTTGATTTCATTGAGTAATTAGGATAATTAGGATCATTTGCATGTGTTTTGTAAAAGATTGTCAAGAAGATGATGAAATTTGAAGTAACTCTACATGCATACATGATTATGTAATGTTTCACCATTTTAAGCTTGAATTCTATCATTCATGTTGGAGTTGGAAGTTAATTTGCACATGCATCGTTGATTTCTAAAGCTTTAAGGGTTTTACTTCATGAATTTGCGAGTCAAGTTCATATTTTGAAGAGCACAAGAAAAGAGTTGCAAAAATCTTACATGTATGAAGTTTTGGTTTGCATGTTTGTCAATTAAAGAGATTTTGAGCAAATAGTTTTTAAAAGGGTCATGTATTTGAGTTTTCTAAAGTGTTTCCATGTTTTTGAGCAAGCCATGCATGACCTTATATTTTGAATTAGTGTTTGAAAGCTCAATCTTTCAGTTTTGAAACCCATAATTCGTACATACCTCTTGAGCGGTAAAGTTACTGCTCGAGCTCACTTTGCATGCATCCAACATTTTTGCAAAGCATTGCAGACCGCTCGAGTGACTGATGGTCCGCTCGAGCGAACTCAGTATTTCTATGCATTTCGCTCGAGCAAGTAAGTGATGGCTTGAGTGTATATTCAGGCCATCTAGTAGTTTTACAGACCTCTCTAATTGCTCAAGCGACCAAAGGTGCTGTAGACGTCCCTGAACGCCCCGAGAGGGATGAGTCCCCCCCCCCGGTTCCGCTCGTATTGGGCTCACTACAGTTCAGGACTCTCAAATTGTCACGGTTCTTAATCTGAACCAAAGAGTCTAAATCCGGCAAATCGTTTTGAGAAAATAAATTTTTTTGAAAGAAGTGTCAAACATGGACTGCTTTGCCAGATACAGAGTCGCCACCTAAATATTTTATTTTTGAAAAATTTAGGAAACCCTGACTCGTAACAAAGGCCACGTGTCCGCCATTAGCAAAGTTGTCTCGGCCTCGGGACTTGGATCGATTGGGAAGGTCACTTCGTGAGCACCCCCGCTCGCCCGATCAAAAGATCGGCCTCTACTAACCATGATATCTGATTTTTGAAAACATTTATGCGTACTTATTCGGGTTATTAGCCTAGATTTACTATGTGATGCGCACAACATACAAGTATAGACTGGATCGCCTGAATTTGGAACAAAACGTTTCATGTTTGTTTTATTTTGAAAATGGTTTGATGGTGCTACCCGCAGTAGGCTAAGACGTGGATTTGCCACCCTCGGGTGGGCTTAGCAAAAACATGATTTTGCCACTATCTAGTGGGCTTAAAAAAACTCACAGTCAACGAATTGTTCCAATTCAAATAACTCAACCTTCACACAGGCATTCAGGCAGTATATATCACATAAGCAGTTAGCCTAATGTGTAAGCATGCTATTCATGGCAGTCACTCACACGCATGTAAGGATGCTAAAGCATAAAACTTACCGAGTACTCCAAGCCAAACAGAAGCTAATTAGAAATCCATGCATGATCCTAATTATTAACAGAAATACCTAATGCAACACATGCCAAAAGTGCAACTATAGCAGGCTCGCTATCTAGACATGGCATATGAAATGCTACAGCTAACATATATTCACTTGGAATTTGAAATACAATGCAGTTTTAGTATGATGCGCCGAGCCCGGTGCATGCAAAACAGATGAATGAATGCAAACATGCTATCATATCTGTATGCTATTGAAACATGCCCTAACTAACCATCATAAGCGGGTAAATAAAGAGAGAAAGACGTGGAGTTGGAAGAACATACATCACACACACGCACACTTATTACAACATTGCCCTTGCGCAGAGGGTCCGAATAAATAATATACAGTCCAAATGAATAATTACAGTCCAAAATGTACAAAACCCTAATTAATTAACAAAATAAATTAGGAAAGCAATAAATTGGCATGCAAGCCAGGGACTGCCTCAAATCTGCTTCGGATGATGAATGATGCATGCTCGGGTTGCCTTGTGCGGAAAATCCCTTGTGATGCCCCGGTTTGCCTCTGTTTGTAATTGTTCTTGGAATGCGTGCCAAGCTCCGGAAGGCTGTCGATTTCTGATTTGCTGCAACAGAGAGCAACAAAGGGGCATGACAAAGTATTTTCATATATGTATGCATGACTACTCTTCGAGGAATGTAGTCCTCGATCCTTGTGCCACCAATCACGCATATCGATGCATGATGGTCGAGGAGTCAAATTGCACGACTTAATGAATGCACATATAAACACAACAAGACCTAAACTCCATCATGGATAATCCGGAGTGTCGGTGACTGGGAATTGAGACACGTTCCGTCACTCGAAGTACGAAACGTCCCTCGTTTCCTGTGCTCGGGCTAACTCCTATCCCAAACACAATGCAATATGCATGACATGCATGAATGCAATTCTAACATGCAACCTAGCATACACAATGCTATGAAATGGCATATACGATGCACGAGGTAACATGACATACACAATGCACTAACATACAACCTAACATACACAATGCTATGAAATGAAATGGCATACACAATGCACAATGGACTTACACCAACATGAGTGGACCTCAGCCACACTCACATCAGTGGCCATGAGATGAAAATGAGACACTCGAAATGCGTGCACACATGCACGCAAATCGAGGACCAAGCCTAAGGCATCAAATGCCACTCTACCCAGAGCATGGCAAGGCATGGAACATGATATGCAAACATGCATATTTCAGCGCTGAAATATGATACAAAACAGCCCCGAAACATGGAAACATGGCACCCGATGCATGGAATGAACCCCGAAATTCGAAACTAGGCACGTGGAAGGACTTATAGCTATACAAAGCATGTATTATTTGATCATGAAGCATGAAGACAGATGCAAGACAGTCCCAAAACATGCATATGTCCAGTTTATAACAAGTCCTAAAAATAAACGCAAATAGGGCTAACCTATCATGCAAAAATGGCCCCAAAATAGAGATTAAACACAAAGGGACAGCAGATGGCCCCAAATAGCAAAGAGACCTTCAACAAAGTCGAAGAGGGGCTCAAAACAGGACACTTTAAAGTTTACATCAACCCACGAAAATAATCACAAATAAGGCCAAACTATCATGCAAGAAAAGGCCTAAAAGAGGGGTAAAGAGACAAGTGGTAGCTTCTGTTCTCAAACATAGGAGAGACCTTCAACAATGTTGAAGAGGGGCTCAAAATAAGATATTTTACAGTTTATGACAAGGTCCAAAACAGCTCAAAAATAGTCCTAAAATACTATACAAAAATTGGCCTAAAAGAGAGATAAAGAAGCAAGTGATATCAGGAGGCCTCAAACAGAGGAGAGCCCTTCAACAATGTTGAAGAGGGGCTCAAAATAAGCTATTTTACAGTTTATGGAAAAGTCCAAAATAACTCACAAATAGGCCTAAAATACTATGCAAAAATTGGCCTAAAAGAGAGATAAAGAAGCAAGTGATAACAGGAGGCCTCAAACAGAGGAGGACCCTTAATCAAACATGGAGATGAGCACCAAATATGACTATTTACAGTTTGGGTCGGAGCCCAAAAATTCTAGAAAGTATGGCTTAGATACAAAGCAAGATAAGGCACAAAAGAGGGAAAATGGGACTCACCCTTGTAAACCAATGGACCAGCAGCTCTTGGACCAATTTTGGGAGCTCTTCACCTCTAGAAAGTAGCCTCAAGTTGTTGGAATGGAGGATGGAGGCCTTGTTCTATGAG